CTCAGTCAAGCCAGGAAGGGGGGTCATCTCTGGACAGCAGGCAGCACCCGGGGTCAGCGCAGGCGGCCTGGGGCTCCGGGTCCGCTCTGGATGGTGTGCAGGATCCTGGGGCAGCTGGGCCAGCCTGGATCGCAGGTCAGCGCCAGCTGGCAGGCAGGGTCCAGAGTCAGCTCGCCGCCGCTGGCACTCAGATCAGCTCCACCCCGTGGGGAGGGTCTCGGGGAGGGGTCGGCGCGAGAGGCCAGGCTCAGTCAGCTCGGGCTCAGCTGAGTCAGGGTCAGGCTGGGAGCCGGGCTCATATCTCAGGTTGCAGGTGGCTCAGTGCCAGGCTGGGGGTTCAGGCCAAGGTCTCCAGGAAGTGGCATCTCCTCAGACCACAAGGTGCTCCTCCTGTGGACACCAGCCAGGCTGGGCTGTGCCGGGAGGGAGGATGGGCTGGGGCAGGGACGAGTGGACAGAGTGCCCGGGGAGCCATGTGCCCTAGAGCAGTGATCGGCAAACTGCGGCTCGCGAGCCACGTGCGGCTTTTTGGACCCTTGAGTGTGGCTCTTCCACAACATACCGACTTCTGTGCATGGACCACGAAGTTTCAATCACACTGTACCTGTGCGCCTGCACGTGGTATTTTGTGGAAGAGCCACACTCAAGGGGCCGAAGAGCCGCATGTGGCTTGTGAGCCACAGTTTGCCGCGCCATAGTTTGCCAACCACTGCCCTAGTCCAATATCACTGGTGTCCTTCTAAGAAGACAGCCATGTGAGGACACCCAGACACAGGGAGGATGGCCATGTACACACGGCAGCAGAGTGTGGAGTGATGCTGCCACACGCCACGATGTCTGAGGTTACCAGAAGGTAGAAAGAGGCAAGGAAGAATTCTCCAAGATCTTCAGAGGGAGACCTGGCCAACACCTTGATTTCACACTTCAGACTCTGGAACTAAAAGAGAATAAACGTCTGTTGTTTTAAGCCCCCCAGTTTGTGGTCCTTACAGCAGCTTCAGGAAACTAACTTACATGATTGGGCCTTTCTTTTCCCAGTTTACTTTTTATTAACC